AGCTGAGACCCTTTAGCTACCAACATAGGTTGCTGCACTGTAGTTATACACTGTCCCCTACAAATGCTGCATTTGCATGTCTGTGCATGGGCAGAGAACAGGGGCAGCTGGATCCAGGAGGGGCCCCATATGTAGCCACTTGTTGTTAGGTGCTGTTGAGTCAGTTCCAACTCATAGCGACCCCATGTACAACAGACAGAAACACTGCCCAGTCCTGCACCAGCCTCACAATTGCTGTTATGCTTGAGCCCGTAGTTGCAGCCACTGTGTCAGTCCATCTTGTTGAGGGTCTTCCTCTTTTTCGCTGACTCTCCACTTGTCATGGATTGAATTATGTCCCCCCAAAAATGTGTGTATCAGTTTGGCTGGGCCATGATTCCTCGTACTGTGTGATTTTGCTGTATGGTGTAAACCTGCCTCTATGATGTTAATGAGGGAGGATGGGTGGCAGTTGTGTTAGTAAGGCAGGACCTGATCTACAAGATTGGATTGTGTCCTGAGGCAATGTCTTGAGATTTAAAAGACAGAAGTGAGCAGTGAGACAGGGGGACCTCATACCATCAAGAAAGCAGTGCCGGAAGCAGAGCGCGTCCTTTGGACCGGGGTCGCTGCGCAAAGAAGCTCCTAGTCCAGGGGAACACTGATGAGAAGACCAACAGAGAGAGAAAGACTTCTCCTGGAGTTGATGCCCTGAATTTGGACTTTTAGCCTACTTTGACTGTGAGGAAATAAACTGCTCTTCGTTAAAACCATCCACTTGTGGTATTTCTGTTATGGCAGCACTAGATGACTAAGACACCACTTTACCAAGCATGATGTCCGTCTCCAGGGACTGATCCCTCCTGATAACATGTCCAAAGTATGTAAGACAAAGTCTCGCCATCCTTGCTCTTAAGGAGCATTCTGGTTGTACTTCTTCCAAGACACACTTGTTCGTTCTTCTGGCAGTCCATAGTATATTCAATATTCTTTGCCAACATCACAATTCAAAGGTGTCAATTCTTCTTCGGCCTTCCTGATTCATTGTCCAGCTTTTGCATGAACATGGGGCAAATGAAAACACCATGGCTTGGATCAGGCACACCTTCGTCTTCAAGGTGACATCTTTGCTTTTCAACACTTTAAAGAAGTCTTCTGCAGCAGATTTGCCCAATGCAATGCGTCTTTTGATATCTTGACTGTGGCTTCCATGGTTGTTGATTGTGGATCCAAGTAAAATGAAATCCTTGACAACTTCAATTGTTTCTCCGTGTATCATGATGTTACTTATTGGTCCCGTTGTGAGGATTTTTCTTTTCTCTATGTTGAGGTGTAATCCAGACTGAAGGCTGTGGTCTTTGATCTTCGTCAGTAAGTGCTTCAAGTCCTCTTCACTTTCAGCTCAGCAAGCAAGGTTCTGTCATCTGTATAACTCAGGTTGTTAATAAGTCTTCCTCCAATCCTGATGCCCCATTCTTCTTCATATAGTCCGGCTTCTGGGATTATTTGTGCAGCATACAGATTGAATAAGCACGGTGAAAGGATACAACCCTGATGCACACCTTTCCTGACTTTAAACCACACAGTATCCCCTCGTTCTGTTTGGACAACTGCCTCTTGATCTATGTACAGGTTCCTCATGAGCACAATTAAGTGTTCTGGAATTCCTATTCTTTGCCAGCAGGTGTCCTAAAATAATTCCCTGTTTTTAAACCTTTAGTCAGCCAACTGTTGGCTTGGTCAGCTGTATAGGCCAAAATCCATAATTTCTTGAACTTCAAATTCTGAGGGGATGTTAAAAATGGATGTGTTGGCACAGGCCCCTGCCAGTGGGGTCCTAGGAGAGGAGATGACTTCAGGAGTTACAGACAGACTGGGAAGGAAAGGGTGGGGAGGGTTTGTCCTGCACCCATGGGTTCCTCCATCCACTGGGAGGAAGGTTTTCTCACTAGAGGATACGAGACTAAAGGACCCGGAGGGGCCAGGCAGGAAGGGAGTAGGGTGGGGTAGGGGCATCTGAACAGGTGAGACTCCACCCAGTTAGCTCAAAACACTGCACAAAGTTTCTGGCAGCTCAGACCAGCCCTGGCCAGAGCCAGCCACCTCCTGACAGCCACCTCCAGGGAGCACCTTTGTGTTGATATTTGGCCCTAGCCCCAGCCACACTATGTGGCTCTGACCTCCAGTCTTTGGACAAGTGATAGAACTTGTCACCTTTACCCAGTACCTGGCGTCTTGAGGACTGAATCAACCTGCCCACCTGCCTAACCTTGATTTGCCTCTCCACGAACCTTACACCTTGCCAGCCAAGGCAGGTTCAGAGATGTACCTGGCCCAAACACAAGACTCCTCCGTGTCTATGACTTCTGGTACACCCACTGCAACACACACACACACACACACACACACACACACACAGTTGAACTGAAGGGAGTAACTGTGAGAGATTTTACCCTAGATGTTACTAACAGATGGCCTGTGGGCCTGTGGTAGGCAGAATAACGCCCCTACCCAAAAATGCCCATGTCCTAATCCCTGGAACCTGTGAATATGTTACTTTACAGGGCAAAAGGGATTTTGCAAGTGTGATTAAATTAAGGAGCTTAAAGTGAGGAGATTATCCTAGATTCTCTGGGAGGGCTCAATGTAATTACAGTGGTTAAGAGCTCAGCTGCTAAACAAAAGATGGGCAAGTTAAAATCCACCAGCCACTCCTTGGAAACCCCATGGGGCAGTTCTACTTTGCCCTATAGGGTCGCTGAGTCAGAATCGACTTGACGACACCGGGTTTATAAGTAAAAGAAGGAGACAGGAGTGTCAGAGTCAGAGAGAGATTGGAAGATGCTGGGCTGCTGGCTTTGAAGTCAGAGAAAGGGACCATCAGCCAAGGAATGCGGGTGGCTTCTAGAAGCTGGAAAAGAAAAGGAAACAGATTCTCCCTAGAGCCTCCAGAAGGAACACAACCGTTCCCATACCTTGATTTCAGCCCAGTGAGACCCATTTTGGACCTCTGACCTCCAGAACTATAAGAGAATAAATCTGTGTTGTTTTAAGCCACTGAGTTTGTGGATATTTGTTACAGCAGCAAAGGAAATGAGTACATGGCCAGATCTAGCCGATCGATTGTTCCACTGGGCCTGCACAGTGTTCTGAAAATCTGAAAATGTCACTGGAGAGTCCAGAGTCCTGGCTTCTCTTCAAAACACATCAACAACAAACAAACAGAGCTGGGAGCAATCCTCAGTATTTCTGGGTAAGGAAATCCCTTGGCACTGAGCATAGGCTGCCCCCTACAGACAAGGTGAGGCTCTGCAGTTTCCAGTCCCTTTACTTCCTTATTTGATAGCCTGGCCACTTCATCTCACTGAGAAGGGTCAACAGTTCATCTATATTCTACCTGCATGGAAGATCTTTAACTTGCCAAAAATTATAAATGAGAAATTGAGGGGCAAGAATGGGAAGAAAAAAAGGAGCATGTCTTAGTCATCTAGTGCTGCTACAACAGAAATACCACAAGTGGATGGTTTTAATGAAGAGACGTTTATTTCCTCACAGTTAAAGTAGGCTAAAAGTCCAAATTCAGGGCGTCAGCTCCAGGGGAAGGCTTTTCCTCTCTGTCGGCCTTCTTCTCTTCGGTGTTCCCCCAGACTAGGAGCTTCTCTGCACAGGGCCCCCGGTCCAAAGGACGTGCTCTGCTCCCAGCACTGCTTTCTTGATAGTATGAGGTCCCCCTGTCTCACTGCTCACTTCTCTCTTTTATATCTCAAGAGATTGCCTCAGGACACAATCCGGTCTTGTAGATCCAGTCCTGCCTCATTAACACAACTGCCACCCATCCTCTCTCATTAACATCATAGAGGCAGGATTTACAACATATAGGAAAATCACACAGTATGAGGAATCATGGCCCAGCCAAAATGCTATACACATTTTTGGGGGGACATAATTCAAACCATGACAGAGCAGGTCCACAATGGGGGGACAAAAAAACCCATTGCTGTCGAGTTGATTCCGACTCATTGCGACCCTATAAGACAGAATAGAACTGCCCCATAGGGTTTCCAAAGAGCACCTGGTGGATCTGAACTGCTGACCTTTTGGTTAGTAGCCATAGCTCTTAACCACTACACTACCAGGGTTTCCAAAAACAGGACTGTCCTTCTTATTTATCTTGGACTTGACAACATTAACGAGAACACCCCCTAACTACACGCACTCACTCCACTGAGTCGGCATCTACTCCAGGACGACTAAGGACAACAACAAATACAAGTGGAAAATAATGGGTTTTAATGCTTCCTGTTGAAAACAGAAGGCTCCCTCCCTCCCCTGTGGTTTCAGAATTTGCTTTAGATAACCTGTAAATTCTTTCTCTGTCTCTTTGAAAAGTATGCTAAATCAAGGCTCTTTCCTCAAGGACTTTGGAACCATCTCTTGCAATGTAATCTCAAAGGAAGATCACACCCTTACTTCCTAGTTTCCTGGAAGGAGATTAGCATAACTTGAGGTATCCTGCCATAAACCAAAAAACCAAACCCTTGTGGTTGAGTCGATTCCGACTCCCAGCGACCCTATAGGAAAGAGTAGAAAACTGGCGATTTTCTCTTGAAAACATGAATGTAATGGGTTGTACCCACTTAGCTGTATAAAGGATGAGATTTCTTTCTGTTTCTGCAATCTCTTTAGCAGACTGCCTGTGATCCATCACATTCTGCTTTAAAGCTTACTCAATAATATAGCTTTTCTTTCTCTTCTATTTTTGTGGAGAAGTTTTCTGGTTGGGAGTAGATTTTGTTTTTAGTAACTTTTCCCCTAAAACCCAAAACCAAACCCGTTGCCATTGAGTTGATTCTGACTCACAGTCGAGTCTATAGGACAGAGTAGAACTGCCCCAGAGGGTTTCCAAGGAGCAGTTGGTGGATTTGAACGGCTGACCTTTTGGTTAGCCATAGCTCTTAACCACTGAGACACCAAGGCTCCAACTTTCCCCCCAACACTCTTAAAATCTTGACCAGTTTTACCTGCAAAAGGTGGTCCCAGCAATGCAGAGATGCCATTGGCACAGATAATGATGCCATACGCATTGGCCAGGTGCTTGATCCCAACCAAGTCTTCAGTCACTACAGGCATGAGGGAGAAATAACCACTGGAAAATCCTATCAGAGCGCAGACGACTGCCAAGCCAGCATACGTGTGCATCAAAGGCAGGATGAAAATGCTGATGACGAGAGCGAAGTTGGCCATCAGGAAGACATTCCAAACGCTGACGCATGGTAGGTCAGCCACGACCCCCAGGACCACTTTCCCAAAGATGTGAACGATTGCTATAATCGAAGTCAGAGGAAAAATGTCGTTCTGCTCCGACAAATTATACAGGTTGACTATTTCAGGGAGGTGGATGAAAGCAATGACAAAGCTGCTGTAGGCAAGCAAAGCCCAGAAAATAAAGGCTACAAACATTCGGTTGGTGAAGAGCGAGGCTGTCCCAAAGTAGCCCGAGTACCAGTCCCTGAAGCCCTTCTTGACCCTCCTGCTGAGCTGGCTCAGAGTCTCGAGGGCCCGAAGAGCACACGTGTTCTTCCTGGGCTGGGCCTGGTCTTTGCACTCCTGGGCGTGCAGGTCACAAAGGGTCTCCTCGTTGGCTGATGCACCATCCTTCTCTTCGGCTCCGCCCATGTGTCCATTTGATTTCACAGACTCGGTGGAGCAAGCCGGGACGACTGGTGGACATTTCTCTGCTGGGTCAGTTCTATCCTTCCTGAAAGTAAGTGGCCTCAGGAGAGCCCCACAAACACACAGGTTTAAGGAAACAGCGCCTTGGATGAACATTGCGTTCCGCCAACCATACTCGGTGCAGAGGTATTTCAGCAGAGGGGTCATTAGGAAGGCTCCAAACCCCGTCCCTGTAGTGCTGAGGCCCTGCGCCAGGGCGCGACGCTTCTGGAAATACCTGCCCACCATGACCACCGCTGGGAGGTAGGCCATCCCGCTCCCGAAGCCTGCAGGTGTGGAAAGAGAAAGGAAGAAGTGTGTGAATAATGTAATTGGCCATATCCAGAATTTGCTGCCTTTTAAAGATCATCTGATTATATTACATTTCATTATATTAGTTGTTATACTTTCTTTTTAATGAAGAAATGATGATGACTACTGTAATGACAGGGAGCCCTGGTGGCGCAACCATTAAGTGCTCCACTGCTAACCCAACGGTTGGCAGTTTGAACCCACCCAGCAGCTCCGAGGGAAAAAGACCTGGTGATCTGCTCCTGTAAAGATTACAGTCTAGAAAATCCTATGGGGCAGTTCTACTCTGTCACATGAGGTCGTTAAGAGTCAAAAATTGGCTTGACAGCACCCAACGACAACAACTGTAAGGACAAATACAAATTGAAAATATTAAAATTTGAGGTTTTAATTCTCCCTGTTGAAAATCAGGAGTCCCTGGGTGGAGCAAACAGTTAATGCTCAGCTGCTAACCAAACATTTGGAAGTTCAAGTTCATCCAGAGGCGCCTTGGAAGAAAGACTTGGTGATCTACTGAAAAGCCGGCCATTGAAAACCCTGTGGAGGACAGTTCTACTCTGACACACATGGGATCACACATGGGGTCGCCATGAGTCAGAACGGATTTAACAGCAACTGATTGGTTTTGTTGGAGCCCTGGTGGCGCAGTGGTTAACATCTTGGCTGCAAACTAAAAAGTCAGCAGTTGGAATACACCACCTGCTCCTTGGAAACTTCATGGGATAGTTCTACTCTGTTCTGTATGGTCACTATGAGTGGGAATCGACCCGACGGCAATGGGTTTTTTTTTGGTGCAAATATTTTAGTATAAATCTCTAAGTATAAAATTTCTTTAAACAGTATAATCATCATATCAACTGAAAAAAAATCCAGTAATTCCTTAATATCATTAAATATCCAGTCAGTGTTAAAATGTCCAATTGTCTCATAAATGACTATGGTTAAAAAAAATTGTTTAAATAAGGCCCACATTTTGATATTGGTTGATATGTAGCTTAAGCCTCTATTAATCTCTCTTTTTTTTTCTTTGCAATTTATTTGTTGAAGAAACTGGGTCATTTGTTTTGTGGAATTTCCCATAGTCTTGATTTTGCTGATTGAACAAAATAAGTTTAGTTTTTTAATAATTTCAATTTGTCATTGACAAACCAACAGCCTAAGTTTAATGTGGTTATGGATTTCTAGAAAGCAGTGGTATAAAATGCTTGGTAGAACTGAGGGAAATAAGCATAAGAACAGCATTAATTCTAACCTAATATGAATAGTGGAGGCCGGTGGCATAGTGGTTAAGAGCTTGGCTGGGAAGCAAAAGGTCAGCAGTTCAAATCCACCAGCTGCTCCTTAGTAACCCTATGGGGCACTTCTACTCTGTCCTATAGAGTCGATATGAGTTGGAATCGACTTGACAGCTACAAGTTTGGTTTTTTTTTTTTGGTTTGGAGTATGAATAGTAAATGCTTGCCTGTGTGAGATGAAAAAATCACCTGTGCCCAATGTTCTAAGCATTTATTTCCCTGTTATACTGACTATCCATCTCTTAACAGCATCTACCCTTCCTAATGTTACTTTGGAGTCCCTGGTAGTGTAAATGGTTAGCGCTCCTGGCTGCTAACGTAAATGTTGGGGGTTTGAGTCCACCCTGGAGGCACCTGGGAAGACAGGTAAGATGAGCTACTTTTGAATCAGCCACTGAAAACCCTGTGGAGCACAGTTGTACTCTGACACACATGGGGTCATTACAAATCAGAATCAACTTGATGGTGACTGGTTTAATGTGACTTTACTATCTGGAGTCAGCACAATCACTACACCAGCTTATAGAAAAGGCCTTTGGGATACGTGGGCTCAAGCCCAGAGGTTAGGCAAGGGCCACTCTAATGTCCAGGCGTGTGCACGGCCCTGGACCAGGTTCTCTCCACTCCCAGCGTTAAAGGAGGAAAAAGGCTCACTGCCTGATAGGCTGGGTGAGGAAGTAGGCCAGGCAGACAGAGAAAAGTCACTCTCTGGGGTGCTGGGTCAGTGTGGACCGGGGAGAAGGCATCTTCAGGAGCCAGGATCAAGAAGATGGAGCTGTGGCAAAGCTGAGAAACTTGCTCAGACTCTGTCTACCAAGTATGGTCACTCCCACAATGAACAGACATTAATTTTGTGCCTAATGGAAAGATATTTCCCATGCAATTTTGATCGCCTACTTGTTTTAAAGAAAAACGGATATAAACAAATCTGTCTCAAATGCTTTTTGGAATGAAGAAGGATATAAACAAAGCGTCTTTTCAAATGTAAACTTCACAGTGACACACCGGTACAGATCACTTGCTTTTTACAGTACATCTGTGCATTGAACTTGTTTCTCTCGGATTAAATAGGGACTGTATTGCCAAATCTGCTGCAAAAGACTTCTTTAAAGTATTCAAAGGCAAAGATGTCACTTTGAGGACTAAGGTGTGCCTGACCCAAGCCATGGTCTTTTCAATTGCGTGCAAAAGCTGGACAATGAATGAGGGGAACCGAAGCATGGATGCCTTTGAATTATTGTGTTGGTGAAGAATATTGAATATACCATGGGCTGCCAGAAAAATGAACAAACCTGTCTTGGAAGAAGTACAACCAGAATGTTCCTTAGAAGAATGCTCACCTACAGTGGACATGTCATCAGGAGGGATCGGTCCCTGGAGAAGGACATCATGCTGGTAAAGTAGAGGGTCAGCGAAAAAGAGGAAGACCCTCAATGAGACGGACTGACCCAGTGGCTGCAACAATGGGCTCAAGCATGACAACGATTGTGAGGATGGCACAGGACCAGGCAGTGTTTCATTCTGTTGTACACAGGGCCACTGTGAGTTGGAACTGACTGGATGGCACTTAACAACAACGACATATTGCCAATTGGCTTCAATATGCCTCACTAATGACACCCCAGCAGTGTTTTGTATGTATAACCTAACTGATTTCACTGAATTTCACATACACACACACGTATCTCCAATAACCATATTTAAATGGAAAATTGTAAGCACCTGACTATCAGCTGAAAGGTTGGCAATTGGAACTCACCCAGAGGTGCTTTGGAAATAGGTCTGGCGATCTGCTTCTGCAAAGTCACAGCCTTGAAAACCCTACAGAGCAGTTCTACTCTTCATAGGGTAATCGTGAGTCAGAATTCAAGTTGACGGCAATTAACAGCTATGTCTATATCTATACCTATATCTTTATATACGCATATACATACACACACATATATATCCCAATTCAGACTCATAGTGACCCTATAGGACAGACCAGAACTGCCCCATAAGGTTGCTAAGGCTGTTATCTTTACAGGAGCAAACTGCCACATCTTTCTCCCACAGAGCTGCTGGTGAGTTCGAACTGAAAACCTTTCAGTTAGCAGCTGAGGGCTTAACCACTGCACCACCAGGGCTCATACATATATATGTATATATATGTGTGTGTGCGTGTATACATATGTGCACACACACACGTATATATAAAACAAATATACAAACAAAAAACTCGTTGCCATTGAGTTGATTCTGACTCATAGCGACCCTATAGGACAGAGTAGAACTGCCCCATAGGGTTTCCAAGGAGCAGCTGGTGGATTTGAACTGCTGACCTTTTGG